AAAAATTAAAAAATAATGAGAGAAAAGAAATGCATTTCCACACTGAGGTGATGGGGAGACGTTTTTATTCTCAGTACTATTTGATAAGGAAAAAGTTTCTCTAAGTAATACACTTCTGGAATATGAGGCACATTTCTTATGGAATGCATTTGTAAGGGTATAAAGTGAAATGTTGCCCCCTTGTGTCTGAACTGACATTATATTTCAAGCTCATCTTAACTGTTTATAACGCCATTCTATAGTACTGTTGCTGAGTGAGAAGGCAGACCTTTGTTTAGTGGTACCATACTGTACAGCACCATGTGAAGACCAGTAAAGAAGAAATTACAGTATGAAATAAAAATAGATACATTTCATTTTATTCTACTCTTCAACGTTAGATTTTTTAACTTCAATAACACTGGGGGGAAATTAGTCTTTTATTCTTTCACTTATCAGCTAAATAGAATATTGCAGTCTTGCATATTTTGTATTTGTGCTTACAGACCATGGGTGAGCAGCATAAAGCACATTCCAGTGCACACGTATCACCCGAACCAGCATTTCCACCTTAAGACTTCATTTCAATTTCCATGAAAGTCAATATCTACTAATAAAAACAAAACAAAAATCAAGATGAATTAAGGGAAAGAAATTTAAGAGCGAGTATCTTATATTCCATAATATGAAATGGATAGTATTATCCTCAAAGCCTGCGACAATGACACAGTTCAACTTTATAATACACAAGATTAATACAACAGGCATTAATTTAACAGTGTAATAAGGATGATCATTGATTTTTTGGGGGGTTTGAGATTATTGGATGACTCACAGTTCGCCCAAAGGTCGTCTTGGTGTCATTCAACAGCAACTATTTTGTCCATTAAGAAGACATATTACGTTCATGTATACTCCTACATGTGGAAATTAACTTAACACCAGTGCTATTCTATTAGTCTAACTATGTAGATCCACTTCAACTTTAGATGTTTCTAGTTTACTCAAACCTAGTCTTAACCCTTACTAATGTTCCAGATTAAGCCTTTATCCTATAATCAAATCTTGCTGTGCGCCTGAAACCAAATATTTAACAGCACTTAGTCTTAACATTTCATATCCATCACTCTAGTTTAAAACGTACTCAAACCTTATCCATAACTTCAGTCTGCTGTTAGTCCCAGCACTGTTGTTAAGCCTTATCTTTTATAAATTACATTTAAATCTAAGAACTAACTATAGCCTTAACTCTAATCCTAACATGAGCCATAACTCTGCCAAACCCATGTCCCAAACTTAATTCTTATATTTAAAAATTTTATGTAAACATTAAAACATCTAAAACCCTAAAGCTAACCCCATCTATAACCCTAAGCCAAGTTTGAACTGCAATACAAGCCTTAAGTTTCAACTCTAACCTGAATGTTAGCACTCACTCTAATTCTAACCCTTGCTAATCCTATTCATAACTCAAGTTTTACCTCTATCCTAGGCATAGGTTGACACCTAACATAACCCTAAATATAACCCTTACTCTAACTGTAAAATAAAACCAGTCACCAGTTTCTGGGAACATACGGTACATAGTGGCTAAAAATAAACATGTACCATAGATATACCGTAATTGACAATCATTGTAAAAGTAGAATGGAAAAACAAATAATTAATCTTGGTCAGATGTGCCCTTAAACAGAGTTAGTAATTAGTATTTCAACCATACCTGATTCGTTTGTAATTTGTGTAAACAGCTGGGCTCTGAACAGGCTATAACTCTTTCTTTGTTCCTTAGATGTTATTATATTATTCTTGCCTATCTCGATTTTAATATCAAAAAAACAATGGCAGTGTAATGGCTTTGTCAGCAAAATGATTCTAATATACAGAAAATCATAGTGTGGAAATGGAAAAAAAGTGTTATTGGTTTAGAAATTTTATGTTAATTATATAAGATCTATATGATTATAATAACAGTGCTGAGCCAAAATTCAAATGCAATTACAGTTATAATGTTGTATTTAAATACTCAAGGTATGGTTACATGACTTAATGAAAGAATACTTTATGCCAAAAATAAAAGACAAACTTCCACCCATCTATTTTCTAGCTGCTTCTTCCAATTCAGGGTCTCAGCAAGCAAAAGAGCACAAGGCAGGATACGGTCCAGGCCAGTCCATCACAGGGTAGACAGACACAAACACTCAAGCCCAATTTCCCCAGAAGCTAATTAAGCTGCCAGTATGCTTTTGGACTGTGGGAAGAAACCAGAACACTCTGAGGCATCCAATATGAACATGGGGAGAACATACAAACTCCATGCAGAGAGCAGTCCATGTCTAGAAATGAACCCAGTGCTGCAAGACAGCAATGCTACCCACTGAGCCACCATACCACCAAGACATACCATATTTCACTAAATTAAATTGCCACTGGTTTATGGGGAAGAAGCACTATCTGTACAGCAGGAAGCAGGACAAATAGATTTATGTAATTTTGGTGTTTTTGAAATGCTGGAAAAAGATGAACACAAGAAGGGGAACCCTAGTATCAAGTTGCAGTGATATACAGTAAGCCATATAGCGCATTGCAAAAGTCAACTTCCATATTGCTTATTGCATACATAGGGCTATTTTACCTATGTTTGCTTCATGTAAGATTTGCTTTTAAATAAGTCCAGATTGTCTATTAAATGTATTATTCCCATTCCCATTATTAGAGATATTTCCTAGACCCTATGCCCACATGAATATTTCCTTCATATCTGGTGTTGTATTATACTGTAACTTATATTTCTTTTTAACTCATATTTCTGTAACTTTTATTTACTTATTTTTCAATAAAACGCATCAACTTTTAATCTTGACGAATATTATTAAAAAGTCTTACTATTGTTATCTTGATAAACTGCAGTACAGGTATTTTGGTATAACAAAACTATGAGAGATCTTAAACAATAGCATGTGTGCATAAAACCCAAATACTATATAGACATTTTATATATGTAAGTTAACCTACAGGTAGCTGTAAATTCAAATAACTGGAGACAGGACTCCATGGACTAAAACCAGAATAACACGGCTTGGGAGACAGAAAATAATAAATTATATGAATGCTATTGCTCTTTTTGTTATTGTGTCATAGAACTTACCAGCCACTAGAGACATAATCAGTGAAACACGATCATTTTATTACCTATGCCTTCAGTCCAACACATTATATACTTCCACTTGGGGGTGACCCCAGAGCATCAGTCTGTCTCTGAACTGAACTGTTTTTAATGTGAACATTTTGGAACAAAACACAAATCTTCTAATTAAATTAGCTCTGACAATAAAGGGCTTGATATAATTGCTCTGGGGAACTCTTCAGGTTAATTAACTCTCCCGTAATGTCATCATAAAACTTAAGCTCGTGTGTGAAGAAAGAGCTGTCCAAGTAAACTAATTACTACATTAACTCTGTTCAATAATGATGCTCCAAAAAAAAAACAAAGCTGTACTGACAGCATTGATTTCATAGGGAGATTGGAGATGTATTTAATACATTTAATACAAAGGGGAATTCCTGCTGAAATAACAGGTTTCTGAGATCTGCAAAGCAAGCTAATAGAGATCCTCCTGACTATTCTGTCAATGTTTTTTTTGTAAAAGTGATATCAAGAAGAGATGCCCTAAATTCTCTTACTCTAGCACTATAAACAGTATCAAGGTCGCCATTCACACACAGAGAACCTCCAGACCCAATGAACGTCATCTTAGTCAAAATATTCTTCAATTCTGGGCTCCATTACAAATGAAATCAACAAAATAAAACAGAAAAAGTCAAAATATCAATGAAACATTACTGTACTGTACGACTATCCTTATCATTCTAGATTGCACATACAGTAGTATGAGATATACTGTATTACAATAAATGCATTCCCACAAAAACTAAGCCAGAAATATTAGCCATATACTCTTTCTGTATGATAAAATCCTACCTTTTACTAATAGTGACATCTGGTGGAAATAATCCAGAAGAGTGAATAATCTGTCATTAAGATGAATCTTTTGAATTCATTAAGAAACACTCAGTAGGTCTAAAGTATCAAGAAACACAACCTGTTATACTGCACACCAGCTTTAAAAACAAAATGTTAGAAAGCGTCCAGGTTAATTGCGTCTGAGAAATGAGATATAGTCTTGCAATGCAATCCCAGCAAAAGTTGCCACCACTATATTATAAAGAACAAAGTTCATTCTTTTCATAGAGCAGATCAGTTTCTACTTCACATTTGTCTGCACTGATTTGCAAACAGAATTTGCAGGGTATTTGTATTGGAATATATGTAATTTACTTCGCTGGGAAAGCAGGAAATTGGAAAATATCATTTAAAATGAACACAATTCAGACTTACATAAACTACAGAAGCAAAGGGTTATATGGTTGCAAAAAACCATTGATCCCAACTAAATCATTCTTGGAGACGTGCATGATGTGTATAGCTATCATTTGACCTACCTTCTTGTATATTTACATAAAAAAACATAACTTCTTTCCATAAGCATACCTCAAGCAATTTGAGAAAACTAGTTCATAAAGACTTAGAGCTCAAAGAGACAGAAAGTTAACATAAGTAGATCCGCGTGCATACATCACTAACAGGGCAGTTGCCTGAAAACAAGACAAGAAAAAAATGCACTTTCCACCAGCAGAGATCAGTAGAACATAAAATTATCTACAGATAGGCATGAGCCTAAATATGAACAAGCGATCAAAATATAAATATTACATTTTCACAAAGCTGCACACAATAAGTAACAAAAAATAATTATTGCATCTTGTAAAAACGTGCAGCAGTGGACATTGTCAGGCCATTAACAGAAGAAATCAGTTTGCTTCTTTAATTGGCAGAGAGCGAAGTAAAAAACACAGAAAACACAGAAATTAAAAACATTTAACACCAATGTACTTTATCATGTTATATTTTTAATAGGTCCTCATAGCCTAAATACATACAGTATGAATCATGACTATACAGTATACAGTACATGGCTTGGGGACTGACAATAGCTATTTTAAATTTAAATTTCAATTTTAAAATATTGATACACAAGGGATACACAAGGGAAAATGATATCATTTTGTAGTGCCTCTGTTCACTTAATGCTATTGTAAAAATGAAATAATGCATACATTAAACATTTCTACAAGACTTATTGTGAAAGGTACTGTATATGTGTAGATCAAATGACTATTTACTTTTATTATTCCAAAGAAAAATGCACAAAATGATTTTACCTAAAAATGAGTAATATATACATTCTTCTGTTACTGGAAATAAATTATTTTTTTTCTCATTTTCTTATGTATACAAATGAATATATGCAATATATATATATAGCTCTTGAGAAGTGATGATATGATTCATTTTTTTCCATGAGTTCTGGCTTTACATATGATTTCGTGTTTTTGTATTCATTCCAAACACTTTCATTCCTTGATTGTTCATATGGAGACTTTACATAAATGCTATTATACCTTCTACCAACTTGTTTGAAAAATAAAGCACAAGTATACATGTACAGTTATGTAAAAAACAGTTATGTAATGGGCTCCTTTGTGATGATGTACATTATTATTAATTCAGTATTTCAACCCAAATTCAGAAAAAAATAACTTGTGCGCTTTTAAGTTTTCAGATTCTGCAAGCTTTAAATACACATCTTAAAAATGAATAATACCATTACAGTATCACACATTGTATTGAAAAATGTAACAACTGATTTTTCTTTGCAGTGCAAGATACTCAAGTCCCACTTAGTGTAGGTTGTTTTTTACAGTGTAAAATGTCCCAGCATTATAACTATACCATGCATATATTAGGGAATTAGGGTCATTACACAGAAATATGCCAACTAAACCCACTGTATAGCACTAGGTGAACAGTTTGTACGTGTTGAAAGAGTATACACAAATTTAGGAACTCCTTTTTTTCTCTCGCTTTTAATTGAAAACACACTATGTTCATTGCCTTTGAGTTTCTTGTCTTCGTTCTTTTCCACATTATCCTCTGCGCTAGGAAGCTCAGTTATTCCCACACATAGCTGATCAAACGTGGCTGTAATGGAGTTGAGTGCAGAGTCCACATTTGCTTTTGCAGTTACAATACTTTCTGTACATTCCACATGAAGTTCATCTGTGGGATTATTGATTTGATGCTTAAAGAATGCACTGAGGTAATCGCTAATAAACTTAGACGATAAACAGACTGCATCTCTGAAAGTATGGAGACCGGAGAAGTGTTCTTCGCCTGTGTGGAATAAAAAGTAAGCTTTAAAACGCAGTTTTAGAAAAAGTACCGACAATGTTAAGGAGGTCAACCCAAAGACATTCATGATTACATTGTCTTAAAGGTACCAAAAATCTAGCAATAACTGCAAACCACTAACAGAAAATCATATTTTCACTTAATATTGCCTAAACCCTTGCTTTAACGGAATTCAGATTTAACTGACAAAATCTACTAAAGGGGAATTCTGGATATAAAATCAGAAAATACTGGCCTTCCCTTGCAATTATCGAGAAATCCACAAATAAAACAAGGTAAACATAAATACTACATAGGTTTAAAATTCAGGAATATAAATGTTGTCCCATAGGGTGTGGTCAATTGATTACGATGGGTGGTTTGTTTTTTTGTATGCTTCAGTGAATTTTATACAGCATATCTTCTACAAATAAAAAGCTTGTGTATTTCGGTTAAAAAAGGTACAGGAACAATTTTCAGTAAATGTCTTTTGATTGCAATTGTTATAAACAATGAATCAAAAGATCCAGAAATCAAATATAGTGTGTATAATTCTCATATAAAAGTGTGTCATCGAGCTGACAAAGTCACACATGATTTAACAGACACTCAGTAATAATGGACACTCCTTCCACCCATTAGTCTGTTAAACATATACCAGATAAACAACACTGAAATAAAAGTGAAAAGCTCCGAAATTTCTATAATGTGATGATTATGAAATGTCACTAATAAATGGCCATCGTACACAAGAGAAAAACAGTTCATTTACAAAGTCTGTCAGACATCAGACATTACAGTATTTAATTAAACATTTCTAAACTTAAAAATAAGGCTGACAATTTATGGTCTTGTAATTTAAAACAATTCACAATACATTTACCTAAAACGTTTACCATCATTACCTTTTAATGTGCTGCTGATAATGGAGCTGATCTCTTTGAGAGTATCATTGAATTTGATCAAATCAGTAGCTGTCCTTTTGATCTCCTTCAGCTGAAAATGATCAGGAACACTATCTTCATATCCCACACCTGAAGACTGATGACCCTCCTGTAAAATGATTGTCAAGGAAAGAGCCTGCAATCAATATTACTAAGAAATAATAAAGACGATAATAAATACATATTAAAAATTATAGTTTTTTTTATTTTTAGGCTGTATGAACCCTTTAAAAACGTTAGTTGAAGTAAAATTGGAGGAAAAAATGCAATACTGACAAATAAAAAATTCTATTGAAATTTGCTGATTTGGTATACCTTCAACAGAAATATTTAACCACAGCAAAATTATTGTATTCAAAGCTATTTATGTAAATGCAATTTAACAACTGCCTACACAAACAATACATTTTAATACATACTGTACAAATGCACCCTGTTGAAAAACTCTTTAAATGGTCTATCATATTAAGTTATCCTTACCAGTTTACAGTGTGAGATATAAACCTGGAGAGAAGTAGCTAAATCCAAAGCATTCTTCTGTAGTTCCTGCAAAATCTGAACACATTGTGCAAAGGTTTATAAACATATACACTTTATATTCCATATACTGTATGTGCAGTACAGAACAAATTATTTATTGGTCAAATTATAACTAATACACATGCTGGTAAAATTGTGTAAGCATATTCATAGACTCAAAAAGAATTCACTATCAGATCTTGCAGAATTTGGCACTTGAGGAGCAGGATGTTGAGAGTGCATTCACTTTTTAGAGTGAACCACAAAGTGATGAGGATGCATCAGAGATTTTCCATTATAAACCAAGGACAGACAAACTTATTAGAACATAGTTGGCATGCTTGTTTGGAAATTGTGAATGAAGCCATTAATTCCGAATGACTAGTAATTATTATTAAATTTCAACTATTTCCTCATCACGCCACAGATAGTTCCTCTGTTACAGCATTCTGTCTGATTTCAATTAGTAATGCTCTATATTAGATTTGAAACTAAAATGATGATGGGAGTAAAAAGCTCCATTGCAGATAGAATGCAAATTAGTTTCTAACAGTGCCCACAAGGAGGTTGTGGACTTCAAACAATTCATCTTTGTATTTCTTACACCACATTTCTCTGCCATTGCATGCTCAGTTTCCAAGATTAAATGTCAACGTCAACAATTGTACAATACCTGAGATCCAGGGAATATTAACTGAACAGTTCTTTGCATTTCCTTTGCTTGGTACATCCCATTATCCAGAAGAGTGCTTATACCTTTTCTTCCTCCCTCATAAAAAGAAACTGCCAAGGAGCTCTGAAAAACATTAATAAAGCAAATGTTGATATGCGCCAATAAATGAGAACCTACAGTACAATACCTTTAAAATCTTTCTTTGCAATACACAGGAAGAAAAAAAGACTACTTTGGAACTCACCTTTTGAATTTCCTCTGTAATGTGAAGCTCTGTTCCGGTTACAATTGAGAGATGGCTGATTAATTTAATTGCTGTGTTCAGGCACAGGCTGATTTTGTCCTGAGCTTCTGTCACCATAGAAGAAATGTCCGAATCACATCCCTTTAAAGTGATAAAAAGTGCATAGATTTCATCTCAGATTGAGGAGAAATATATAAAAAGGCTTTGAAATGAAATGCTGAAGGAATTTGATGATAGTTTTTCACCCCATTCATCATTACTTATATCAGTGATACTCTGTACCACAATGGTCTCTAATTTTTCTCCTGTTTGTTAACATAGATACATAATTTACAACCATTTAACTAAAATCTTAGCATTTTCACATTGGTGAACCAATATTCCCAGGATTAAATATAACAAATCTACTAAAGAGTAATTATTTGACTTTAATTTTCCAAGTACAGTAGCATTATTTAAAACAGGATAGCCTTTTGGAATGTACCTGAATGAGTAACTGAAAATAACCACCCATTTTCTTTATTTCCAGCTTGAGCTCTTCATTAACCTCAGAACGTCCACTCGGTTTAATAGTGTAAAGCCACTGTGTTGTAAGGAAGATGACTCTTTCAAGGGCTGAGGTTGCCTTCACAAGCTGGCATTGTGCTTTTCCATTGCAAACTAACACTAGCAAAGAGGAATCAACATGGAAATTAGTAGTAAAATCACAAAATCACAGTTTTAGCTTGCAAAGATTTTCCTCCAACGTCATTGCATTCGGTACAGTAAATACGAAGGCTTCTATTCATATATATTTCTTCACTAACATTTAACATATTAAATCCCTAAGGCTTTTAAAAACTTAAAAAAAAACATTTTATACAATAACAACACCTGCATTATCATTTTAATAGTTATTAACCACAAACATAATTAAAGAAATGCATTTAATTCTCTGTATAACAAATGGTCAAGACAGGTTTTGTTTGTTTTTAAACTTTCTCCTCATTCAACATTTCTCACTGAACAAGGTCTTGCTTACAATTTTCTTGGCTGTCATCATCAAGCTGCTCGTACAGGGTGGAGATAACAGCGACTCCATTGTGAATGGTGAGAATATCTGCCATTATTCTGTCAGCCATACTCTCCTGTATCTCATCACATATTTTCATCTGAGCCACTGCTGACCCAATCAGCTCTTTGCAAATGCCAGGCAATGCCGACTCAGATATACTAGGATGTACAGTAGTGGTCTTGTTCATTAAACCTATAAGAATATAACATCAAACAAAATTGAGAAGAAAAATAACCATAATGAGACTATTATGATTTTAGGCATTGTTTTATTTTACATGTGCTATTTTCAAAATACTTGGAACATCTATAACAAAAAACCTTAATCTCTTTATCAGTTGAATTTCTGAAATTGAGAGTTCAACTTACAGTTTATTACACCATTTGCTGTGAACTCTAACAAAGAAGTGGAATTTAAACTACTGCTAATGAGATGTGTAAATCTGGAGTTGACAACAGCCTACATTTTCTCACTGCTGTAACAGAGAAAGCATTGTACTTGCTTAGTAAACCAGCAAAACTGTCCTCTCTGACCAAATATACGATTATTCAATAAAAACCACCATGGAATAAGGGAAGAGTGTAAAGTACCAACAGTATTTATAACAAGATCAGGATTTGTAAACTAGTTGTCTAAAAGCTTTTGTTTCATAGCAAGTAAGTTACTACATTACCAGAATACTGGGAGTTGTGAAGACTCTGAATGGGATGGACTCTTATTTCATAAAGTCGTCCTGATATTCTCCTGCTTTTTAAAAGACTTCTGCTCCTGGGAAAATGTAATTTACAAATACAGATAAATAAAATGTGAAAAGCATGTTTTCTGGAGACATAATCTCATGTATTAGAACTATTTTTGGCAAAAAAACAGGTTTTTCCTAACATCAACAGTAATCAAAGCTAAAGCTTTGTAGGCCTAAATTTTCTCACCTTACCACTGATTAGCAAAGTGCTATGCAAGCCTAAGTACTGAACTGCTTATGCAGAACTATATTGCAAATAAAACTTCTTACACATTTCATAAATACTTCACAGCTGTAGAAAGGCTATCCTTCCTGAGAGTGTCAAAGGCAATATCTGTTGAAGCTACAATTACTAGCAATTTTTACTCTGGCTTAGGACCAATTGAACCATGCATTTGAAAATTAAAATTAAGAAATAAATATTATAACCTTTCTTACTGCATTTGTGATAACTCAATCAGATGCAAAGCACCTTAATATAAAATACAGTTTTATACAAAGTACCATTTTAAGGTTTGTATGGACACAGTTGAACTTAATATGGTTGCAAGCTTCTGTAACTGGAAGAGATACTTAATTTTCATCAGAGGCTCCAGAGATAACACCTTTCAAATTCTTTTTGAACACTTTTTCAGCATGGAATAAACCTATTACTTGTTCCTTTACAATCTAAACAATGCTGCTTCCTGCTTTATATGTTGAGTTTATTAAACCACATTTATCACATTGTTACTGCAGAAATTAGATAATATCACATTTATCAGAGTGCAATAAACTGCAATTAAGTTATAACGACTGTTAGCTTATATTCAACTGTTGAGCTTAGAAAAGGAAATCAGAGCTTACTTTCTCCTTGAAAATGATGAAGCAGCAGAAGTATTTGCTATATCTGGTTCCCACTCATCATTTGGATCATAAAACACATCATCTTTTGCACCAGAATCTCCCTACAAAAGGAAACAGGTTATTTTCCTTTGGTGTAGAGACTAGTTTAGAAAAAAACACCAATTAACCAATGATGAAAAATAAGAAAAAAATGCCTTGGCAACAGAGACTTGTTTCATTTTTACTGTGCAGTGTGAAATTAACCTCTACATGTTTCTGTGCTCCTGGCATGCTAGTGCAGTTCCTTACTCTAACCTTTAAATACTTTCTAATGTGAAAATCCTCACAGATCAGATTTTATGAAGCATTTACTATGACCTCAAAATGACATTCTGCAAAACAAAACATTTCAAATACAAAAGCAGTAAACAGAAAGTTACTTAATAAGTTTATGTCTGTAACCAAACTATAATAAAAACAGAAGATTATAATAATAAATAATAATAATAATAATATAATAAACTTTATTTTATATAGCGCCTTTAAAGGTGGCTTCTCAAAGTGCTTTACAGAATGACAACAACAATAAATAAAAAGAATACACAAGATAAAACACAATTACAATTTACAGAGGAGACCGTGGATGGTGGTACTAAGAAAAGCAGAGGGGTGAAGAATGAAACCAGTTAAGTAAAGGCTTTTCTAAAGAAGGTTTTGAGTCTGGATTTGAAGGAGTTTAAAGAAGGTGACTCTCTGATATCCTTGGGCAGAGAGTTCCAGAGCTTGGGGGCATAACAGGAGAAGGCCCTGTCACCCATACAATGTAGATGGGCTTGGGGGACAGTAAGGAGAGCAGAATTAGAAGAGCGAAGGTTGCGAGGTGGGGAGTAGGGTGATTATAGTTCAGACAGGTACTGAGGTGCCTGAAAATTATTGATACCAACAAGAAATTAACCCTTTCAAACTGAAAGGTTAAAAGATGCGTTTAAAAAATACTTGAACAACATCAGAGATTGCAATTTTGCAATCTTGATTTTAAACAGGTTTCATTAAACAAAAAAGGATTGCACTAAAATAAGGTAATCAAATAACGACAATAGTTCCATAGGCTAAAGAGTGTCCATGCTACGGATGTATTCCTAGAACAACCGTGACATGTAATGCGAAGAAATAAAAGTAAAACCTGCTTAAATTCACAACTGTTTAAGGATTCATTAGAATATTACTATTTAATATGTATAATATATATTTATGTTTTGCATTTTAAACATATTTTTATAAATTTATTTTACCCAACCAATCTACTTAAGTTTTTCAGGCTCACCTGTTCCATCTCCCTCATTGCTGCTAGGTTGCTCTCCAATTTCTCTAGACTCCAAAAGGTTGTGATACCCAGCTTTGTGTTCTGAACTTGCACCTGTAGCTGCTCATTTTCCTTTCCGCGGTCTTTATCTGAGGATTCATGCCTGCCAGACACATGCCTTGTTAATTCTTCAAAACATTCAAACTACAGTACGTTACAATATGAAACATTTGACAGTTAATAAAGATGTGAAACTGCAATGTAATAGTACTGTGCTTCATTTTCTTTATTATAACTTGAGTTACTTGAGTTTACTCATTACTTGAGTAATGCATTTATAAACATAAAATTATTATTATTAAGCAGCATTGTATAAACTGTACATTTTCAGTTTATATTTTGAGTGTCTCACAACACAATCATACTACTCTGAACATTATCACAGTCATTGTAAACAGTGGTACACCACATATTATCTTACACTTATTTCATGGCAAATGGTTTTCAGTAATGACTTTCCAGTTAACTACAAGCAAATATTGTAATTACTGTCAGCAATATCTTCAATATAAGGGTCCAATATAAGTAAAATACATTTTGAAAAACTAACCGACTGAAAACAGCATGTTTCTTCAGTTTTCTGCTAATGGCATTTGCTTCCTGGATCATCAGAGACAGTTTCATCGAGTCCCACTGTGGTTGAACTAAAACATAAGACAAACCATTTAAATATTTTCACTTGTTCTATGATGTTTGTCATAAGAAGTGCTTCTGTACTGACAATCTCTTTTAGCTTATCACAGCAGAAGTAGATGGCTTACCATGTCCTGCAGCATAGTGTTCATTTCGTGCCCTTTTTTGCTGGGTCCTAACCAAATCCTCAGAAATCTTCTTTTTTTCCTCTTCTAAGGCTTCAATAATCTTTGCATGATGTATGGCATGATCTGCCAGGGCCTAAAATTTGAATTTGGTTAACCTTAAATCGAGTAAACATTTCTGATAGGAATATATTCATAGTCAAGGGACATATCAATAATGAGGCCTGATGTTATAATATTGAATATATTTTTCTCTCAAAAACAATAATTATTCAGCTAAGAAATCAAAAACTACCTGTCGGGTAGCTTGTGCTTCCATAAGAAGACGTTTTTTATTTTGTTGCACCTCCTGTTCAAGTTGTAATTTTGCACTCTGCAGCTCTTCGATCTTGGTGGCCACTTTCCGGTTGTTAAGTTCCTGCAGTTTCTTCCTTTCGCATTCTGCCTTCTGAAGACAGGACACATAACCTTGTCTACTCCCAGAAATATCAATTGTCAAAAAAACTTTCAACCTGTACAATTTAGGTTTAATCAGCATAGGAAATGCGTTTATATGAAACTAATAAATTAAATATGTGTAGACACAAATACTGTATATGCAGCATTACATACAAAATTCTTTAAACCATCATTACTTTACTTGAAGAGGAGGCAGTACATTATATAGCATGATCCTCAATAAAACCGAGATTTTTTAAATCCCATTCTTTAAATGTTTAACTTAAAGTTTTAAAACTCCTACAAAATGCTAGATATGTTCAGTTTATACTGTATTTTTAAATGTAATTAAGTCATGCAAACATTTTATGAAAGACCTACCAGTTCTTTTTCCAAAGCTTTAATTTTATGTTCATATAAAGCTTTCTGGTCTGAAAGCTCCTTCTGGGCCATTTCTTTGGCAACTTGTATACCCTGAATCATTTCTTCTTTGGCTTTCATCCGAGCTTCTTCAATCTCTGCTTCAAGCCTGGAATTAGTGTATAGGTTAGATGTTTTATTTTTCCCTTAATTTATGTGTTCTACTCAATAAACTCCTTATGAGATTTTGGCACAAATATGTTATTCAATGTGACTTTCACTTACTGTGCTCTTTGTGCTGCTAATAACTCGTTTTTTGCAAATTCAAAGTCTTTGTGTCCATCCCCTGCCCCGTTCCAGCACGAAACTCGTGTCCCACGCTGCACCTCCCCTGGATGATTGAATCTAAAGTAGTGGTCACCACCAAGAATCACTCTGTCACCCTGTAAAAAACATTCCATTAGTTTGTTCCCCAAGTGGTGATTTTACTAAGTATTCACACGTTATGTACTGTAGACTTACGTGATGAAGGACAGTTGACTCCGAGACAAGGTTTCCATTCACAAATGTCTTTGCATCCTTAATTGGTGCGATACTTACTGTACCACCTACGTTAGAAATTATACTAGAAGAAAATAAAGAATTTATTAGAAAAAGAACACTAAACAAATTGGCTCAATTATGTTGAGAGCTTCAACTTCACCATGACAGTGCTAAAAGTAGTATTTACAAGAAACTAAGAAAAAACAATACATACAATGTAAGAATGTGACATACTGCAGAGGTTAGTTCCAAATCTAGCATGTAAAAATAAAAGACAAAACTTCTTACCAGTGGTCATCAGCAATAAGAGCTCCAGAAAGTTGAATGTCATGAGTTGAATCTGATTTTTGTTTTCCAACTTTGGTCTGCCCTTCTTTTATCATATAAAGCAACATCTCCGACAGTTGGGGATCCTCATTGAGATTAACCAGATTTGGCAAACGGTTATCTACCTTGAGTGCAATCCCAGCTTTCTGCACAAAGGAAGATGTGGTTAAGGAAAGTAAAGTTAGTCTTCTTCTTTCATTCTGATAAAAGTCAAAAGGCAATGATTTCTCAGTTTTAAAGCCGATTTCTCAGTTTTCAATGGACATAGTTCCCACTTATGTCTCCTAGTTTGTGTTTCACTGTTGGTTATGAATACGTTCATAGGTGTGACTGTAAATGCGTTTGAGAATTCAGAATACGTGAATAAGTTCTTCTCTGTCCAAAACTAAAATGATTCAGTAACTTGTCAATGTAGGACATTCCTTTAAGCCTTGAAATCTACTGTATACTGATGCTCTTCTCTGAAAGGATTCCCATTGCAGCAATATCTTGGCAACCAAAACTGTACACAGCCTTCTAAACAAGGTCATATTAGAGCACTGCAAAATTTTATCACGTCTTTCTCGGGAGAAGCCTCTTCAAGCTCAGCCTTTTCAAACTGTGTTTGTGGCTTATGTTTTTGCAATACCCTTTATTTGTCTGCAGTCATTGATAAAAACTGGGTAGTACCAGCAATCGTCCTGTTACAGATCCCTATGGTGCAGCACTATCTACACCACCCCAATCATAGCATTCACCTCTTAGCTGTTTAAGACAATAACGCAGCTACCTGTAGCTCTTTAGCTTCTTCACGCTTTCTTTTTTCGGCCTGTTCCAGTTTCTTTTTCCAAGTCCTAAAAACTCAGAAAGGCAAAAAAGCTGTAGTCAAAAGCACTCCAATTTATGCTTAGCAGTAAAATTGCCAGGGATCCTTTTGTGTTCACAGTTTTTATCAAATAAAAAGTTTTAACCTTACTCCAAAAATGAAAATAAACCCTGAATATTAATTCAATAATTATGCACTGTTTAATGAGAAAGAAAAATACCAGGATTAACATTGTAAACCCACTGAAGAGCAGAAAGCTAAAGCAAAGTTCTACAATACTCAGGAGCTGATTATATATGAGCCACCTTTATATATCAATTCCAACATTTCCAAACTCATTCATTCCTTACTCTTATATAAAGTGTTAGATTTTTAAACAAATGCTCAGAAAGACATCCGTTCAGTGTCTTTTGAAGGTACATTACACAAAATGTCTGTTTTTATAACAATATTTGTAATATAAAGATAACATCTTCATATGCTATATGGGCCCTCTAACCAATAAATACCTGTGAGCTTCTGCCATGTCTTTCTCCTGTTGTGTTAGCTGCATTTTAAGGGTTGTGATTTCTTGCTTAAACAATCTCATTTTTTCTGTTTCAACACCTTGGGAGCTCATTTGAGCTGCTTTTAGTTTTTCAACTTCTGCTTTCAGCTCTGCAAATGTTAAAACATCAAACACATAATGTTAGACATGAAAACCAATAAACTAACCATATTGTAAAGAAAAAAAAAACTTCCAAAATGCAGAAGTTGCTAGAAAATACAATATTTCTTCTTCTGTTAATTCATCTCCCCCTAGTGGTGGTTAAAGCACATGACTTTTACAATATTTGGTTTTACAGTACCTTAAGTTGGGGATTTTTAAACTCGTTGTGAGAAACTCCTTTTTTCTGTTAGGTGAACTTTTTTTTTGTATAAGAGACATATGTACATTACACTAGGGGAACAATAGGAGAGAACAAAAAGAAAAAAAAAATCACAAGAAAAGCCCTATCTCTCTTTACCAGATTATAGACATGTGTCCCACTAATCACCAAATTTGGAAAGGCTATAAAAAGTATGACAGTCTGTGGATGTCTATCAAATACCATTCAACCATTCAAAAACAAAGCATTTAAATATAGTGCACACAGAACACAGCCACATCTTAAAAAAAACTAACCTAAATCAAATTTACGTTAATAAGATCAAGATTCACACCCTTACATTTCACATCACTAGAATTACATACCTGTATCCTTATCACTTTTTAAGTAGTCCTTCACTTTTTGCCATATGTTTACAAAGGTGACAAGTTTACATGACATTGAATATCTCAACTCTTCTAAGTATAGCAGATTACTGAATTCTCTGATCCAAATCTCAAAATGTTAGGTAAACTTTTAGTGATAGACCAATTGGTTTCTATTTGAGGCATGTTTTGTTTTCATATTTTAAAACCTGTAATGGAGCTGTAATTGGAATAATCCTTTTCCCCCCATTCCGAACTTCCATTATTCAGGTATGTTAGCTGAAATGCAGCTAGCTGGACAGCAAAAAAAGTTGGAGTGTTTCATATATAACTATTCCCACCGCAGTCTCTTTATTGAAAATTGCTCACCTGCTACCAGCTGGTTAAAAAATAAAGCAAGCTCTTAATAGAAAAAAATGAGGAATGATTGTAATTAATGTAGGTAGAATAAGGCAGAAGTTGTCACTCAAAATAGAGTTTTTGAGACCAAAGACCAAGTATAGAAACAGATAAACTAAAGTCTAAAGCAGATGGATCAATTTTTTTTTACTTAGCAATAGTGAGGACCAACTCCTTTGGAATTTAATCTGACTGATACAGCGTTCCACCAAGACTACTACTAGGAATCACTTCGTTGGGTGCTTTTATATATATGTACACATTTTTATATACAAATAAAATGATTGGTTATGGTACTGCGTTTGGAAAACTTTGATCATTTTAATGGAAACTTTGCCCTGAATCTTGACCTACCTCTAATCAGTTTGGCACTGGTGTCCTCGTTTACTTTGGCAACATTGATGATCATGCGTGCTTGATTGGCGTATCGAAGGGTACTGAGAGTTTCCTCCACATTGCTGGCTGCAGGGCTGACAGTGGCAATCATGGCGGTTTTCGAATTTCCCCCAAGACTCTCTTTCAGCAACCTGTCGAAACATGACATCAGCATTAGGACCATCCTAAGCAGAATAAAAAAAAGTGACCCATGCATATTATTCTTCTTGAAACACTACAATGAACCACTTCAAAGGTCCTCTTACCATGTTAACACTGACTCCCTGTAGGGGATAAAGACTTTCTTCTTTGACTGAGAATGTTCAGAAAGAGCCGAGATCACCTTTCCCAACGTTAACAGGGACTTATTGATGCTCACACCTTCCTATAGAAATAAAAGATCCTTTCAGACAATCCTTTCAGAAAACCACATTAAAGAACATTAACAATACAATTCCTCAATGCTTTGTGTGCTAAAGTGTGTACTTCTGCACTTACCACATTGCTGAAAATGAAGTCTAAAAAACTACTTTTTATCCTACAAAATCATTGGGACTGTATTTAAAAACAAGCACATTAACTGGGTGATGATTTAAACAAAACGCAAACAAAAACACATAAGAGCCCTTTCTCCTGCAGGGGCACTGAAATGTGTAGCAAGGCAGTTGTCTGAAGCCAGTGTCATACCCGCAACCTGTCTCCACTGGTCTGGGCTGTGGAGCAGCGCTCACTCCCTGCGAGGTCCACCAGATTGATCCGGCTGGTTATGGTGTGATCATGCTCCTCCTCTTCAACAAACTCCGTCTGCACAAAAAAATAAAGTTAGTTGAGTCAAAACTGCTTCAGATCCCCAAGATAAAAAAAAACCTTCAATTTTGTGAGATTAAAAAAAATGTCTGAGCAAAAAATAACTGCTATAATACCGATGTGAGGTAAGCTAATAAGAGACTTCACCGGGAGAGGGTGTAAAAACACACTGGACTTGGCAGTGGCTCTAATGAAAATAAAAAGGGTCACCTTTGTTTGTGTCATGACGAGTGTGAAGACGGAATGAGATCTAGAGCTCTTGTCGTTCATCCCTGTTGCTGCAGTGGCACGTTGTTTATTTCCCAGCTCAAGCCAGCTCTGAAAGGAGAAAATTAAATGTTAGGTACAACGTTAAACAACTAAACAACAAAGACTACTGTGATCATAATTATTTAAGGACTCACCTTAATGTCATCGTATGAGCTAACAACATTCCTGCGGGAGAAAACATTTACAAAATTATTCTAATTGTAATAAAAAAAAACTCAGTCTCTACATTGATAAATATATTTCTAAAATTCTTACAGGTCATACCCAGCTTCTTATGCATGATTTCAGAGTTTCTTTCAATATAAGGTAAAGATTCAAAATCAACCCTTCATAAAGGTTTTATGTTGACAATTTGATAAAGTCTGCATTAAGCACATACTTACGTTGATAGATCTGCTACATAAGGCCCAAAGACTGGATGCTCTCGTACTCTTAACTATAAGACAGATTTTTGTTAGTTCAATTGTAAAATCGTGTGGATTGTACACTGTGATGTTCGTAAAATGCTGCAATTTCTTTCACTAAATACAGCAATTATACTATATAATCATTCTACAACTAATCAACATATTACAGTCAACCATACAACATATTTAAAGGAAGAGATAATGGTTAATTTCACACTGAAAGGTAGAAATAAAGAAGAAAAATGTTTTGCCTATGGAACCTTGGACTAAAATGCTGTTTTTTCCTTCTTTCTACTACTCTAGAATTAAACTTTACCTGCTCCTCTAGAGATTCCCACTCCAAAATATAAATATTGCAAGTAATTAAGTGATTTAATATTTATTTTTTGTCCATATTCAAGAACTGTACATCACTAAATAAACACTTAAGGTTGTTAAACCAAAATGACCACTTAAAAAATAAAATAAATACTTACTGGTAGCTTCTTTTGACTTTGTTCATCTTTTACTACCAATAAATCATGAATCTTCTCATTGTAAACTTCAAAATAGCTCATTTCCAGGAGGTATGTGACCTGCGATAAAATTATAAATTACCTTTACAAAACCATCATGTGACTTAAGTACTAAACAATGCAGTATTTTTCACTCAAGAAAGAAAAACTAAACTTAATATTTATGAAATATTTATGAAGACAAAACAGAAATCTTACTTGTTGATTTTCTGACTTGCCAACTCTTGAGAAGAGTTCCTCACAAAATCTTGGTATCACTCCAGCTTCATCACTAAAGCCCATCATTCTAATTGGCAACAAAATGTGAAGAAAATAATCTAATGAAACAAATCCACTTAAAACAACTAAAACAACTACAAAACAATTACAACACATATAGTCGTGTATTGTATATTTATGGGGAAACAAAATTAGTTACACAAACAGACAATTATGAACATGGTTGATTTCCGTACTGAAATCTAAGCAGTTAAATGTATAACAGCATAACTTTGTTATTTCACAAGATAGGTCAATTATGCATCTAAATTTCAATTGCATTTATAACTGAGCATAGAAAATAAATCAAAGTAAAAGTAAATAAAAAATCTTACGTATATGATTTTCCAGAGCCAGTCTGACCATACGCAAAGAGACAAGTGTTGTATCCCTCAAAAGCTCTTTCAAGAAGGGGCAAAGCAAGCTTTTCATACACGGTCTGTTGACTGGCAAAATTAGGGTCAGTCTTATCAAAAGAAAAAAATGAAAAGTCGTAGATAAAGGAATAGTTTTGTTTGGAGTCCGGATGTTGAACAACAATTTCCTGGTTCTCCATGAAGATAACCTGATGTGCATTCTCAGTCTTCTCTCTGGTTAAAAATTAAAAGCAAATAGTACACATAAACAACATCATTGCAAAGAACACAACCTCCAAGTACCCATTATCTCATCCCTAAGGGTATCAGAGAGTCAACTTCCCTGAGCTCTTTCAAATCAAGACTCAAAACCTTCCTCATTAGAAGGGCTTTTATTTAATTGGTTCTGTCTGCCCCTTTGCTTTCCTACTGTATTCTAAACCATTACGTTTTGTAATTCTACTGTCTCCTCATTGTGTGCTTTTATTTCCTACTGCAAAGGAATATTATGCCTTGTGACTTGTGAGAATCAACATTTCAAGGAATAATTTAAAATAAAGTTTTATTATTAATAATAATAATATCTTGCATAAGAACATTAGATTCAGCAATTGTTGTAAATGGACATCTTGGGTATGACATCTAACTTCTATGGTCATACAAAAAAGGAATAAAAATAATGATGTGATGCTTTACATGTATTGTTTTCTTGCTGTTATAGAGATGTGGGAATAACCTGTTAAAACTGAAACAATAATGCAAACATTATAATTCACAGCAGAAAATGCAATTAAATTATTTTCTGATTCACATGACCCTAAGATGTCTTCAAACAGCTCTTTCATTTCAAACTTATACCAAACACAAGCACTTAGTACTTGAGGGGAAATTATAATAGTGTATTAAACCTACTGTACCAACTTTCTGTAGTTTTTAGGCAATGCAACACTAGAATTCTTACCTGTTGTTGAATGGTCTCACTCGTACTGCCACGGTTACTGCACTGTTTTCCATTTTCAAGCAATCTTGGCCTTGAATCACACTCTCTCGGGTGGACTCTTGCTTTGATAAAAATCCCTTAACAGGGGTCCCCCATCCCGAACTCTTCACGTCTGCACTGTGAGACACTAAATTTATAGTTTTCCTCGGCTGTGACGCTTGCACAGTGGATGCCCAGTTTCTACTGACAGCCCCTACCGCAAGCCTGCTGTTCCCTGGGAGAGTGGAAGCTTTAGGTACGGGTTTGACGCTTTCACAGCTAACCTGCCCTGGTGCCTTCTGCCTCTCCAAACTTCCATACTTGGTACTCAGCGGTTTCGTGATATCTCTCCCCGCTGTCTTCTCAAAAACTTCTTTGACATTTTTTTCAGCGGGTGTCCTTTTGGCAGGTGCTAAGAACACGTGTAGTTTATTCGGGGCCTCTGTTTTGGGGGTATCGCCTTTATTCAAAACTGACTCCGCCAGTGACTTGGGCACAGACCTGGAAGAGTTTTCGTTTCCTTTGCTCGCTGCTTTTACAAGAATTGAAGGATTACTTCTGGTTTTTGGTGTGCTTTTTAATGTTGTATCCCTCAGACTCCCTGATCGCTGAATTGTTGTTGCTTTGGGGGTTTTATCGCTATTATTTGTTTCAGTAAGCCTTTTATAAGAGTCTAAATTAGTGGCCCCGTCTTGTTTCTGTTGTGTTGTATTTTCAGTCGCTACTTTGTTTTTCTCTGTTATTAAGCCTGTTCTCGTACGGCGCTGCAGTGCTAATCTTTTTTCTGGCGCTCCGTCTTCTTTTACAGTGTTTTGCTTTGGCTTCTTTTCACCGATTTCAGTGTCCTTATTGTCTGTTTTTTTCCTTTGAAGCATCAGTCTGCCTTTAGAATATATGTCAACAGTTTGACTAGATGTTTTACTTCCCGGTAGAATATACGTTTTATTTATCTCTTTGCTCTTATCGACTGAATGCGACGATTCATCTTCTTTCTTGATTTTTTCATCCAAAGTGTCTTTAAGTTGTTTTTTGATTGATAAGTCACCCAAATGACCATCCTTTAAAAACTGATAACTCTCCAACAGAGGCTTGCGGCCTCTTGTTGGTGTAGTGTTAAAAACGGACATAACTGATCTTAGCACTTACATTAAGAAAAAACATCAATCCACGAAAAGTAATTCTTGAATTCTGGTTTATATTTCCATGAAAGTAGTGAAGTTACTTTCCTGGAAAAAAAGATTATGGGTTATGCTTTATCGCATGCTACAATAAATAAGCTTGTTAACAGCGATCTCTCATCACTTATATCTTAAAAACGTGTGTAACCAGCTGTAAAACAAAACATTTGCAATCCCTTTAAAAAATAATAAAGGTAGCTACAACTATCATGGAACTTAAACTTTAACGATTCTGTAACTAGCTTCCTATCCTTCGAGACTGGATTCATTAAGAAAAAAATGCGGAAATCGATTTAAATAAACGGAAAGGCGCTTTAACTTTTTGTAACCCACGAATTTTGTCATTTGTGGTGGAGTAATTCAATCTTGCTACTGTAACTTGCACGATATCATCAATGCACGGCAGATTTTCAGTCTGTAACATTGCGAATTTAGCATTTCTAACGCAAGTACCCTGCTATAAAAGTTAGATGTAGAATGTAAAATTTGGAGAAAAAAAAATAAAAACAGTTTTTAATACAAAGATACACCCCCCAAAATGCTTATTTGCCCTATTCAGTTGTACATACCCCTCTTGCGCCACCAGCCCGCTTCCAATTTTCAAACTCATGTGCTTCTCTGATTGGTCGTTCTCGGATACACGTCACCAGAATTACACGAGTTTCAGGAAAGGTTGTTTTCCCACCGTAACCATAACACTATACAACCCGCCCCAAAGACTAGACCACTGACTCACATAAGACGACGATAAATAAAGAATATGACTGAAACAATTGCAAATTAATCTACAGTTTACAGCATTAATTAAATCACACATCAACAAATGTCTCTTAAATTACTGTGCATTTTTTATTCGCAAAAGTAAAATTATTACCGTTAACGTTAAATTATTTTAACCAGAAGACACCGAAGGGTGGAATCATTATAAAAACTTGACAACTTGTAACAAAACTGCATAAAAATGTAATAATCTCTTTCCACATTGTCATTTGTATTTCGAGGGTACCTTTTTTGACGGTTGCTTTATCCACTATCCGCCAGAGGTCACTTTTGTTCCATAAGTATTTCCACATTATTTTAGTCAATGCAGTAATACTAGTCTTCTGCTAGATGGCATGATTCTCAGCGTTTGTGCAAAAATATTCTATTCGGCTTCAGGCATTTAGGAAAACGTACAGTAGCAACTATATAGTTTTTAAGATTATAAACAAGAGAACAGTACAAAACACTAACTCTTACTCTCAGTACCGTCTTAGCTATAAAAATATCATCAGGTGTAGCGTCATTCGATGAATTAATGTCACCAACACCATAAAAAGCAGTTCTTAAACTCATGCTCCAAATACACAGGATATATAGGAAATACATCATTTGAAGGATTTAATAACATATTATCAATGCTTGTTTCAGGAAAAAGTGTTTTGTTCCTTTCAAGGACAGTTGGCAAACTAGTACTTTGTATCTCAATCCTGTTGTCCACCCACTAATCCTGCTGAAGAATTCCAGATACCTTTCTTGTGCAAAAGCAAAGAATTATATGTTAAATTATGTGGGTCCACAACCATTTTATTATTGCTCATGTCTGGCAAAAATGCATCATTGAAAGATCTTTCAGTTATTTCTTAGCAGTGCGTCTGTCATGTCTTCTGATAATGTCGATCAGGTTATCCTTTGTGACAATGGTTTCTTCACCCTGCTTTTTTCTCTGATTCTGCTTCTTCCGCTGCTCATGAAGGTGTGGCGAATTGAGGAGTTGTGCAGGGAGCAGGGAGCCCGTTGGCTTCACTCTATTCACCAAATCAAGGAACAGTCGCTTGTTGTTATTGTTCACAAAAGTAATGGCAGTTCCTCTGTGACCCAATCTTCCTGCTCGCCCCACCTAAAAAGAGAAATCCACTTGTAAAATAATATATTCCAAAACTAAGGTGCACTTGTGAGTGTCCTACCTCTTAAAGGCCTGGGGATTTGCTAAAGAAATGCATGGATGTTGAAGATGAGAGACATAATGTTGTTCTACAACCACAAGCAGTATGGCAAAAAAATATAATACTCTGATCAATCATCTAGTGCTAATCAAAATTGATCATTCTTTATTAGTTGACAGGTATAGTAATGTGCATATTAAAATTCCTGAACCCGGTGAACACTTGCAGCTTAAAAAAAAAAAACATAAAATTAATTTACAGTCTGTTACCTGATGAACATATTCATCCATACTGGAAGGCATGTCGAAATTTACCACCAGCTTGACATTAACAAGGTCAAGTCCTCTGCCCAGTACTCCAGTGCTGACCACCACTTCATAATCTCCCTGAAGCAAGCCCTGTTTGAAGTATGCAAAAAAAAAAGTCAAGATCCATATCACTATATTGCATAGAGTAAATGAGATCCCCACAGTTAGTAAAGATTATCTACAGTAAAAGATTACTACAGTAATCTTCAGGAAGATGTGTTGAAGCGGGAGACAAATATGATGGAAAACACACAACACACATTTTTAACTTTATGCCTCTGAGACAGTGCGAGACACTTTGGGCCTCTGAGAATGAATCTACTATGTTCCAGTATGTTTTTGGACCATGGGAGTAAACTGGAGCACCCAGAGGAACCCATGCTGAACATACAGGGCTGGAACCCAGGGCCACAGCTCCATGAGGCAGCAATGCCCACTACACTCATTTCCACCACATTTCATTCACAAAAGTCCACAGGCATCTGACATAATTGGATCCCTGTGGAAAATAAATCTTCACGGTAGACATCTAAAACTGGTACTCACCTGTAAAATACTGTTCCTCTCGCACTGGGGTTTGTCAGAATGAATCGACACTGTATTCAGAGCTAAAACCTTATGCACTGCTTCACACAGCAGGTCTGCTCCAAGTTTGCAGTCCACAAACACCAGCACTGGAGGCAGGTACAGCTTCCTGTCCTGTGGTTTAAAGAATCCATCATGTCACTCAATGCCTTAAGGGATTTTAAAAATCCATATTTTGTCCACAAATATACACTTTGTACAATTCAGCTTACGTTTAAAGGTAAAACATTTATTTGTTTGGTTGTTTAAAATATGTTGTACATATGACATGAATTAAAAAAAGAAGACATTTAATCTAGGAATTTCAGTATCAACAGGTACAGTATTACTTACCGTGTATAATGTAGTCAAAAACACAGTGATTAGCTAAAGAATTTGTGTCTTATAATGCTTATTTTAATAGCTAATTTCCTGCACCACTGTCACAGTGTATGGACTATTTTTTAGCTCTTGGATAAGCTCCATGGAGAAGTTTTACTGAGTTGCTGGTCCCACCCATTTCCTTTTGAGGGGGAGAAATCTCACATCTGCTAAATATGGTCTAGTGCATTTTCCTTCTGACCAGCAGGATTTTCCACTTTGTGAACTGCATGCTCCACATTATGAACAAAGAATCACATTAATAAATAACTACCATATATAAAATATTCATACAAGACATTTTCACTTAAACAAAAAAAATTATAAGGGAAATGCAGGATTTAAAATTATTACAACCTCTAATGTTTTGTTTCTTTAAAATTCATTTTGACCATTTTACATATTGTAAATGAAGGGAAGCTGTAAAGATGTTAACTGTCAAACAACAAGAGCTCACCCGGTTAACAGTAAAAGAAATGGAAACGTACATTCAGAATTTCAAATAATTTCTTTTTCTTTGAAGGTTCTTCCACCCATAAGACTATCTGCCGGACATTGGAGCACGGCTGGTTTTTATCTCCAATGGTTATTCGGACTGGATTCTGTGTAAGTTGGTTAGCTAGCTGCTCTATTCCAGCTGGAATTGTGGCAGACACTAACAGAGTTTGATGGTCTTCGGGGACCTGTTCTAAGACATCCAGGACTTGCTGCTGGAACCCCATTTTTAACATGGTATCAGCCTGGTTGAAAAAAAAAAAAAGATCAAATAATAGATTAACTTTTCAAGCTTCAACATTCTGGCAGCTAGTTCAATTCCTGTCATCAGCCATCGTGTACTTACTTCGTCAACAACTACAATCTTTATTCCACTGAGCTGGACTGCCTTTTGTTTCATAATCTCTAAGAGTCTCCCTGGAGTGGCAATTATAATCTACGGGATAACAAAACAGCCACAAGTTTATTTCAATTCAGGAAAAACAAGCTGACAAAGAAAGGCAACAGAGAATTCACTGGAAAACTGCAATCCTTGGGAAATCTTTCAAACCCAAACCCCTTACCTTGATATTCTGCTTGAGCCTATGGAGCTGAGAAGGCAGAGGCATGCCTCCAACTAGCAGTGCTGTTCTCATGTTGGGTAAACCCATCACAAGCTCTTTAGCCTGGTTCTCGATCTGTATCGCCAACTCTCTGGTAGGCGTTAGGATGAGAGCTTTTGGACCATATTCAGAGGATGCTTGTCTCTGGAAAGACACATTAAAAGCATCACTCAAGATAAAAAATCATATTTTATAACATACTTGTAATATACCTTATGTTGAATAAAAGCCATGGACACATTTATTCCCAGGTAGAATAAAAAAAACATATTCCACAGTAAAACTAATCAAGAGACACATTAATGCAAACTTTTACTGTGCATACTTTTTACTTTATAATATACTGTAGTTCTAATTTCTGAATTTAGTACAGCCACAGGCAAATATAGATCAGAGCTTTTGAATTAGTTCAAACTGCATCAAGGGAGCAGGAGAGAAGAACCAATTGCAATTCAGTAGGTTGGCTTAACTACAGATAGAAAAATATAACAGTTATGAAGAAGGAGTGTAAAGATATTAAATGCTAAGCATTTCAAGTGTTACACTAAACCCATAGAGTATTGCATGTAAGTTTTGTAAAATTACATCTTTGCAAACAAATGTAATTTTCTGATCAACATATATTACAAGTAACATAAAGCACATTCATGTGTAGGCATTAGAATTTCTTTGTGAAGAACAAAATTAAATTATGAAACTTACTACGGAATACCTAAATGCAAAACCACATGCTGTTGTCAATAACTGACAAAACAGACACAATGCGGTGCAAATTTTATTCCCTGCCTCCTACTTTGAACTTCTTTATAAACCAACTACTATTATCCTAGTCACTTTCTGATCAAAAGGCCAAATGCAATAATAAAAAATTGTAATTCTGAGACTGTAACTGCTATATCTGCTTTAATGGTTAATTATTTTTGTGTTGAAAAGTTCACAACGAAAACTTGAAATACAAACGAGCTCCATGTGTTGAACACTTTGGTGTGCAATAAGAGTATTTTCAAACATCCACCATGAAAGATAAAAGGCAACATAGTTCAGAGAGCAAACCTAGTAATTACTCAGGCAGCTCTGGAGTTAATCAGCAACCCCACCCCTTCCTACACGCAAGTGAACTCCAATTTACCTCCCCCAGCGCGCGTACAAGAACTGGAAGCAGGAAGGCGGCTGTTTTTCCAGAGCCTGTGTCAGCAGTAGCTATTGCATCTCGACCTGCCAATCCAACAGGAACCATTTGCATCTGAACAGGGGTTGGCACTTCATACCCTGCCTTCTTCAGATTACTACTGAGGACTGGAGGGAAGCTGCACTGTTCAAACTCTATAACAGGCCTACAGACCCCCTGTCCCTGCACCACGATGCCCAGTTCTTGCTTCAGTCTCATGACTTGCTCCTCCGTCAGACTTGAAATAAAAGCATCTTCCTTGTAAGAGCAAATCTCCCCTTCGCCATCGTCCCCATCATCCACACATGTCGAAAATAAAGCCTTTTCCTCTTCAGGTTTATTGTCGCAACCCACATCTGTCCCAGGTTCCACCCCCATCTGGTCCAGATGTTCCGCTTTGCACTGCAAACTGCATACGTCATTATCAGTTGTGTCACAGATATACTCTCCATATCGACCACATACAACACAAACTGGTTCCCCAGGTTCTGGCCATCTTTGGCTGTGTCTGAAAGACTTCACAGGCTCTTCTTCCTCTTGCTCAGCTTGGTGTTCAGTCCTTGGTGCTGTGTCTTTCTTGCTTTTCTCCTCTGGGTTTTCCACATTACTTTGATCCTGCTTATCAGAGTATGTGAGAGCCGGGGCACAAGGCGTGATTCCCTGAAAAGGGATCGGAGAGTCCAGCATCTCATTCCCAGCATCATGTGCTTCTTCAGGACTCGTTTTACATTTCTTTGGGGCTTGACAAGAGCTCTCTGGTGGCCTTTTCACCTTAAGAGATCTTGGAACAAACATTTTACCTCTGAAACAATAAAGAATACATTGTCAACATTTCGTTAGGATCACACTAATAATAATTAACAACGTGTAATCAGAACAGGGGAGATACAAATCATCATACATCACAAAAAAAATTGCCAACTATCTTCAGAAACACTACACTGCTGGCACAGAACACGTGAAAGTATTGGGTTATTTATTCAAATCATTCTGTATCATCTTAGGTGCAAAACCGGTAGAAGGATGTCGAGTTGAAACTCTCCCTAAACGGATAATAATCTTAAATGGTCTTTGTAGCTTCTTTCAGAAAAATGTGTTGAAAGTAGTGAATCTGACCCCCCCAAAAAAAAACTGAAATGTAAAATGAAAGCATATCCGATGTCCAGTTATCAACACCACTATCAGCAACATATTTCACACTGGGGACTTTTAAAATTAATAAACAAACCGTTTGAAAAAGAAATATCCCTCCATCGAGAAAATTGATAATGTCTTTAAAACATGTTCTAGAATTTGTAATGCGTTACTGCTTCAAACAGTATCTCACATTACAAGATATAATTGACATCCGATCTAACTGACTAAACCGAACACTAATAAACAAGGAAGTAGAAAATGAAGCATATAATTCAAACAGATCTGCATATTTTTCAGTTATGTCTCGCATTACAAAGTCTCCGCCTATCTATATCATATTTTTAAAAGGATTATTACATTATGAAGAAAGCTATCGCAGACATGTCTGTTCATAAATTATTTTTTCTCTCAGAAATGCGTTTTTTTAAACCTCGAATCTCAATTCTAGGCAAACAACTGCGTCTTGCATATTCAACCCTACATAAAAATAAAACTGTAGTAATGTACTTACGTTATAATGCATACCACAGAACAGAAAATTCATTTCGCTTTATAGCGATGTGCTACTTCACTTCCAAGCAAAGATGTCTCGTATTCTTGACGTCCAGGCGCGTTGTGTTGTGGGTACGGTAGTTCCTATGGCTTGTGTCGCTGATGGATGCAGTATTTTATTTTTCTGCAAACAGCCATGTGCAAATATTGGATTTTCTATGGAAAAAAAGTTAACATGTTGCTGTTTTTTCCGTTTTTTCTTTGACGTAATCACGTTTCTACAATGTTAATGTCGTATATTTTATTTATAAGGGCGCAGGGTTTAGGATGTATTTGCTTGTAGACCAATAAACATTTGTTAACGGCGTCCTTTAAAACATTAAACATTTTCGACTTTTTTCACAATAAAAATGTTTGCTCTAAAACTCTGAAATACTTCAGTTATTCTTCAACGACAATAGTTCAAAATATTTTGCATTTTGGATGCTTTCAACAACAACAATAGTAATAATAACAATAATATTTATAATAATAATAATAATAATAATAATAATAATAATAATAATAAGGCTTTACATTAGTACACAATAGTAATTTTATTATCGTTGGTGGTGTTGGTGTTGATCCGTTTTTTTTTCTGCACTAAATCTACTAATTTCTGGAATCAGTGTGGTAGAAAAACATGCTGAAGCAACAATTTCCTCTTAGCCAAAAACATTATTGTCTTCGTGAGTCTACCGGCGTGTAAAAGAACTGTTTCCAAAACACAGCCGGTAAACTTTATCTAACATCTAACATTAAAAAATGTTAGATGCGGGCAATAAAGAAGGCAGTGTGTATCACAACAGTCGGAAGCCTCGCACAGGCGTTTCACAGTATTTGACAGATCGTTATTCTCCAGTTCAAATACTCTTCGGGTTTTCACACCCACTATGGATTTTCACAGGAGCAGACATTGCGCCCAACCTAGCACGAAGCGGAGAGAAATAACCACCCTCTGTCGGTGGCTGGGCGGACCGCGCAGGCGCACTGGGCGCGCTCCCTAATAGAGACAGTGCGGCAGGAAAACCGCAGCAAGCAGGGGAAGACAGATTGAATAGGAAAAGAGGATACGTAAAAAGCCAAAGGGAAAAAAAAAAAACATGGAAATGAAAGAGAAATGTCTGTGCTGACGAAGTGCATCGCGTGTAGGATGGGAACCTGATTTCCCTAACCCGACCATTTTTTCCAGATTTTTTGCGAATTTTCCTTAAATCTCAACAATCCAGAGGGCAATGCCAGAGAAGGGATGAAAATTACAAGGATATACTGCTGCTGCCTTGGTTCGCTCACCGGATCGTCTACGCAAAATCAGATGGAGATATAACCGAAGAATCCATTTATACAGCTACATAGGCCTAAACATTTGATTTTCTGTTGTTTGGATAGGAGGGAAGTAACTGGAATTTAAAAAGCAAACGAAGTCAAATTTGGTGCATTAAATTCCATTGGAAGGATGTCATCCACGTCCATTGCTTGATAGTTATCGGTTTCGGAAGACGGGTATCGACGCTTCAAGGTGTTAGTATGGGTGATGTAGCTGACAGCAAGGAGATTAAAAAGACTTTTATTGTTCCAGCCATAAAAGCGTTTGATCATTACGATTTTACCAGAGCTAAAATAGCTTGTAGTCTGACATGGCTGGTCGCCAAAGCCTTTGGGACAGGTAGGTGGCGTCTTTTCTTCATTTAATTTAGACGTGTTGGAGAATGCAACACGGAATTATATGTGACATTAATTTCAAGCTTTTTCATCACTACCGATGCTAATCCATTTATGGTTAATAAGGCTTATTTTTTAAACAAATCAAACTACAAAGGGTTGTCAACAAGTTTTCATTTCGCTCGTTTCAAAGTGGCAACATTTTAATATTTTTATTTCAATTTGAATACTTTAAATCAATTGGAAATAATACGGTTATTCTGGTAATTTATAGCATACAAAACATTCCATAGCTAATTCTGTAATCGCGCTGCGGAGGTACTCAACGTACCAACATTGTAGCGTATTTTCACACACCCTGTGTGTTTTAAGAGATATACGTGATAACTCATAACTGTGATAACTGTTGCGTTTTGGTCTTCCATAGCCGGCCGACCAGCCGGTCAACCAAAAAAGGACGATTGTCTTGACATGAGCACTATTCCAAAAGGTTCACCTTAATCTTAACACGCCATGGAGACCTTCGAGAAATGAAAACGAATAGTTGTCACTATGGCAAATACGTTGCACTTAGAAATGTAATGTTTAATGAACAGATACATTTTAACACTGCACTAAAATTAGGCTACTTTCCTGCCTTGCTTACCTTATAATTATGAGGAATTAGCTATCTTACTTAGGGTTACCATCAAGTTGGTTTAGCTCTCTGTTGTATAGAGGGAGCCCCTCTGATGTTGACAGGAAAATAAATGGTTATTAAGGGTACAACTCTTTCTGAAAGAATAACGGAAACTGGTTTGTGCGTACACTTAAAATAAAAATCTCAGCGTTTCTTTACGGAGGTAACATCCATAAAGCAGAGTCATTCTTAATCTGCGACGATGCTGCCATCGAAAATGTCAGGGAAGGATCCTCTGATCTTCGTTTCCAAGGTGGACCAGGGAAATGTAGCGTTGAGCGTTTGAATTCAAATACGTTTCTATAAATAGGGTCACGTTGTAGCTGGAAAGTCGATTTTCAAGGGATTCATCCGCAAAGAAATCCTGAATCAGAGCGTGATTCATTATTAGAGTCCGGTCACTTTTTCCACTTTTCAACTTCAAGGTCAGTTTTATCTCAATTGTGTCTACCCCTCGTTCCGTGTGCAACCCCTCCCAGTCAGACGTACACAGTTATCACAATTATTTCAAATTGTCACTGGTATTAACAATTCAGTCCTCTGCAGGAAAAACAAATTAAGTTTCAAATCATCCTGCCGAGATTGCGTGTTTTTTCAGTGGGGTACTGTAACATTCTTTATGCAGTTTGTCGTGAAATAAATTGAGAAATTTAAAAATAATTTAAGACTTTTTTTATTTGAAAACATTGCTTACCCTTTTATGTTTAAATACTATTTGACTTAAATATTACAGTGTGAGATGCTTATATTGTTACAAATTCCTAATTGTTTATACTTGGAGAAAAAAATATTTTTCTTTACTTTCCCAGATATAAAAGGTTGTTTTCTTACACCCATTATTGTCTAGGAAAGAGCAGGATAGATCAAAACAACAGGTTATTACTGATATGTTGGATGAGGCATTATGGAGCAGGATCAGCCAAATGAATTGATTAAAAATACAGTAAATGCTTTTTTATAGACACTTTTCTTTAAAAAAACATTTGAACTGAGTTTTTATGCAAAATGTCTCAGTGGAATGTTGAGGAATACATCTGATGTATTTTGTGTTCCAATTTTAATGTTGCTTCAGTATTGCACAGTGACACACATTGAATGAGACAGTTACAAACCAGTATCTTAATGCATTTAATACATTTTAATGATTTGATCATCAGGTATTTCTCTCATTTTATAATTTTAAGTAAATTAGCTTATTTATAGGAGTTCAGAAACTTTAAAAAGAGGCACTACTTGGTTGATATGTTTATAGTTTTCTTTTATTGAATGTCTGATTGGGGTATGTCATTAGTTTGTCTATATTGGACTATAAGACTTGTGTCTTTCTTGAATATACAATATTCAAGAAATATAAGTGTTTTATCCCACTAATATTGTAATTTTACATTTTACGATCTCCATAAAAACAGAATAACAAAACAGTACTTCTTATGTTCTCTGAAGCTGTGGTCCACATATTCCCCATAATTATGTAGGGGTAACAGTCTTCAAATGTCTCATCAATTTTGATCTAATTGAACCATAAGGTGAGATTGAGCAATTTACAAGTCCAGAACGAAGCATTCTAATATTTGAATGTCTTTCACAAGATCACAAGATAAAAGTGATCTTTAGATTTACCACACCATTAAACCTGCATTTTATAACCTGAACTAAGAAGGGTCACAGTAGTTTATATCAATCTCTGTTTTAGTCATACAATGGGATAACACTTCTGGTGTTTTAGTTGAATTTATAAAACTATGGTCTTAGGCAGTAGAACATTCTGTACTGTGTTGTGGTATTATTCTTATGCAAAGACGACCATTTTGATTCCTTCATCTTCATAATCAACTTTTGATCAGCTACAGTAGCACGAAAGGAGGGAGGTCATGAACACAGCAATATCTTTAATACAAAAATGTCAAATTCTTCATGACTACTTGCTTTTTAAATATTCTTTCATGAGTAATGTGCATACTCTAATAGTCTTGTTGTAATGTTTATAAAGCAGCTGTTATAAATTCTTCATTTCAGAAACAAGTAGAGAGAGCTGTTTCATAACATCTGTGACATAACATAAATACCAAGACAGGCAACATTTGTTTCTACAGCATTACAACAGTCTTTACTACAGCAGAATTAGTTCTGTGGAACTTCATGGCCCATGGATCCTTTAGTATGCAACTTTAGTATGCCCCGAAATGCTGGAATGGTTAGGAGAATGAGGTGATAAATATGTTCTGTGTATGGAATTTGAGTTTTGCAGAAGATGCAGCATAGTGGTATTGTTTGGAAATTTCCAATTGCTGCATTTATTCATCAAGCATAATGTAGCATATCCAAATATTTTAGTATTTTAAAACTTTCAGTGCATATTATATAGAGTATCTTAACTGCTAGTCACATCAGAAGTAATTGTGTAATTTTTACGATTGTTCTTTCTGATTGGCAGCTAAATACTTAGCTGTTAATTCATGTAAGCTGTTAATTCATTGCATTAATTACAGAAACATATTTAATTGTGTTTTATTGTATTTTTCTAACTAGGTTCTTTAGATTTTAAATTTGAGATGTTTTATTGATGATTCAATCAAAATCATTACAAACATGAAAAAATTGCCTTTAATTATGATGCTGTAATTAGACTTCAGTTAGTTTTTATTTATTTCTCAAGAAAACCTTTTAGCTTTGAGCTACATGCTCTGTTCAATGGGATTGAATTTTGGCCTTCATATTTAAATAGTTGTTTAATTACCTCTTATACAGTATGTCGAAAATACAGAAAAGTATCTCCAGAAAAATAAAGCTGATTTGTAAATCACGCTGTAGAATTCTAGAGCTTTATACTAGACCTGGGTAAAACAAAAATATAAAAAAAAAACCCTGAGGTTAAGCTTTAAAATAATGTAGAGTAGTGTTCAGTTTATATTTTCAAAACATTCTCTTTTCCTGTGAAAGTTACTTCCTGGCTATTTCCTTTTTGATGCCATCAAAAGAGGAAGAGCGTTGCTTGACAAAGCAATTTTTTTGTGAATTCAAGCAAAGGTACAGATACACTTTGCTGCTGCACAAAGTGAATGTCTTTTGTCTCCTCTTTGCTTTGATTTGCTCTGTAGCAGTGCGTCACCAGTCCCTCTGAGCTTCTGACGACATGGAAATTGCAGCTCATTAAATAAGTGAATTTCTTCTGATGTATTTTTGGTTGTTTTATTTATATGCTTGCAAATGTGCAGAAGCTCTTAAAAGCATTGTTAAGGCATGGTTTTAAAAATCGTTTATAGGAACTTTGCCTTTTTATAAATTGATCTTATTTTAGTTTTGTAGCCAAGAAAACAAATTGCAGTGTAGAGGTATTGAGGAGCCTTATCATACCAGGATTTTAATTCTGTTAATTGTGAGTATGCTTATTAAAATAAGTTGGTAAGCATTATTCTGATTTTCTTGGGTAGCCCACCATCATTTGATAATTAATAAGTTTATTTTTGTAGCTGAACTTGATATAGTTTTGTCAGACAATCCTACCATATTTAGGCACACTGCACCACTGAGACCTATTATTCTGCACCTTACCCCTAACACTTGATTAGCCAAGCTGTTAAAGGCTGGATCTTGAGAAAAGCTTACTAAAATAGGATAAAATTTACAGCAGTCATTGTGTTGGAACATGCAATCAAAGTGAAGACTCTTTTCTAAGATAAGCAGACTTCCTCTTTTCATACTTTATTGGGACCATGAAAAAGCAGCTCCATTTTATTGATGACCAACCACTGTTACTGTTGTTTGATAGATTCCCTGTGATCTATTATTTGCCAAGTTCTATAGGATACTCTTGTTAGAGTACCTTTTGCAGTTATACTCTGCACTGCATATCCAACTATAATCTTTGTCACCCACGGTATGAATAGAGTGAACTAATGTTTATGTTTCTTTAAACAGATAAAACAATAAACAACATGTGTTTCTTGAGCAGCTGAAATGTCATGACACCCTCCTTCCTACATACAAACACACTACCAGCTGTTTCAGCTCTGTAATAGGCTGTTTTACCTGATGTTATTGCATTTGTCAGTACTTGTTAGCAAGGGATCTAACAACGGAATGCCACACACTTTTCTTAGAGAACAATTGTATTGACACATCCCACTAGTCTCATTGGGAAGTTGGGAAGAGGCAAACTAGCTTTTCGTGCTATTACAGTTCGCGAAAAGTAAGCAAAAACATCTTTAATTGTAAGAAAGTGGCCAACCTTTGCTAGACTGCAGTATGCATGTACACTGCATGAAACACTACTGGAAAAGCACACTGCAGCTTTAAGTTCAGTATGGAGTCTCTTGTGTGAGACTGAGTTGTTGATCACATGGAGAGGAAACAGGCACCATTAACAGTCAAAGCTGACCGGGATTCTGTCTGCAGTTAAACTGAAAGGATGGACTCTTTTCCTTTGCTGTACAAAGAATAAGGCAATCTTTCACCCACAGTGTGGAATGTGGCCACGCCTGCAGTGTAACTTTCTTGTACTTAGTGGTATTTGTGCATAAAAGTACATGTCTATCCTGATTAGATTTTTAAATTAGGTGTGCTGTTTAGTGGTGTAATGAGATTAAACTTTTCCTTTAGTTTCAGATCCCAGTCAAAAGTTTATATCTATCAGGAGAAAATATTAAAATGTCCTTTTTCACAGTCTTATATTTTTGAAAATGTGGTCCAAGCGTCTAACGCCTTTCCCCATTGTTTACATAGCATTCGAAAGATATCTTTTTGTACTGTAAAGCAGTTCACAGCACTGGCCCTTATTTATCATTTGTCATAACTGTTTACTTTTAAGATTAAGGTTACAGTGCTTTCTGTTGTAATTTTCTGATCAAGCACTCCATGTCTGAGCGGTTTGAAACTAGCAGCACCTTGGTCTATATAACATCCACTTTCACTGTAAAAGATTTAGAGAAATGTGGAAATTTAATCATGATCATGGTGCGTTCGTTGACATCAAAAAGACTAAAACACAATTCAATAGAGAGTTGATATAATCTATACATTTAAAAGGCTGTTGGCAAACTCCTGATTGATAACAGGAGTCTCTTCCCTTGTATTTTTTTTCAGGTATATTTTTATTTTATCTACCCTCTGCTTTGAGTTTTTTCCAAAAATTGAACTGCAAACTGTGAATAGTGAAAATTGTGAAATGAGTTGAAAGTCATTGAAATGTCACAAGCACGCAGAATTGTTTAACAGAAATGAAAGGATTTTAGCTGCAACTGGAAATGCTGGAATCATAGAGAAATCGATAGGGGGCATCTTATAGTTCCCATGACAACATAATTACCATGTTCATTATGCTAAAATATGTACTGTATGTTTATTAATAAAATGTTTTTTATCCTGTAACTATTAAATACATTAGTTAATTTTGTATGCTATAAATAAGCTAAAGTGAAGTATTTCACAGGTAACATTGGCATTTTTTGTATTTCAGTTTTAATTTTATCAATATTGACTACAGGTAAAGGAAAAAATATAAGCATTCAGCTATCTTCTTGTTTATTGTTTTGGAGACATTTATGTATATATTGTTTTCAATACAAGTTGGCCTTAAGTTATCATAAAATATAATCTATAGACAATGTGTTCTGGCTCTGGTTGGAGTACTTTCAAGACATCATTTTACTGGGTGAGTTAGATCACATGGCCAAACAACTAACCACCATCACTTCTCTTTACAAACTTGAATTCCTCTTTGAATATCCCTGCTGCTAAAATCCTCCTTCTCCTTTTTCATCACTGGTATTGCTGTAAGGCTTTGCACTGATTGTTTTACTTGACATAATCTGAGATGCTACATAGGAAAAACTACATAGGAACTACATAGGAACATAGGTTGTTATCAATCAGTCATTCAATTCAATTTTTATTTTATAGAGCTCATTTGTGCTGTGAGCACTGTGTCAGAGCATCACACAAGATGCAGGGATAATAATAGTGCTACTACAGCAACAAACCTGATCAATATCCAAGAAAAAGTAAATCCTAGAAATATTGGGGTGAATATCTGGTATGAGAGCATTGCACACACTTCTGGTTAAAAGTATCTGTCCTATGGGACATTGTGTTGTCCATCTTGTCAAATTTACCAAATAAAACCAGTTTCATTAGAAGGAAGGGATCTGCTTCATTTTTTTGCAAGTCACCAGTGCACAGTCACCAGCGCAGTCATTGCAGTGCAGTGAACAATAAGGAGATTAGCCTGGCCTTGCCAATATTGAGAAATCATCTTGAAAGGTGGTTGTTCTGACTAGTTCATTCTTAAATATTAATTGATTGTAATTAATGGAAGTGGGTTTAACTTAGGACATTTAGTACATTTTCCATTTCACAGGAAATTAACAAGATCAAAAGCTCAAAGTATAGTGTCTGTATCAACTTGCAGTGCTTATACAGAATTTTTTTCTCCCATACAAAATTTCAGTCCTAGAATTCAATTTTAATTTCTGAGTAGAGTTAGAGGCAGAAGAAAGGACACACCAGTTACTTTTCAGATTTTCTAAAGGTGTTAACCTGTTTATACTGCAGCTTGGACTCTTTTATGTGTGTAATATTACAGCAGCTCTGGTTTGAATATGTGTGGACTTGTAATTGTTTTCTAGACAATGTTCCAGAGGACCTCAAAGAGCCGTTCTACACAGACCAGTACGACCAGGAGCACATCAAGCCCCCAGTGGTCAACCTGCTCCTGTCTGCAGAGCTCTATTGCCGTGCTGGGAGCCTGATTCTGAAGAGTGATGCCGCCAAGCCCCTTTTAGGACATGATGCTGTCATTCAAGCCCTTGCACAGAAGGGCCTGTATGTCACAGACCAGGAGAAACTGGTCACCGAAAGGGACCTGCGCAAGAAACCCATTCAAATGGTAAGTGCTGCTAACCCCTCATGTTACCACTAGTGTTGAGTCACTGTAAAACATGTCAGTAGCACGTTTAGTAGGATGCTTTAGGTACGGAAAAACCAAAGCTGTGTTTTTCAGTCTATACAGATTTAGTCAAAAACATAACTGTATTCAAAGGTAGTTGGGAACTCCACTGTTAGTGTAATGTAGCTTAGCGTAATGCTCATCATGCTTGTTTACCACAGCAAATGTGTGCTATTTGTCATAATTAAGCGTTCATGTTTTTTAAATAATTAGAATAATTATGAATTTTTAATATGGAAAGTTTTTTTTCTCAAAACACGTTGGCTTGAGTGTTTAGAATACTTCATTTTCAAATTGGAGCCCATGAACAGGCAGTGCATGCCGTGCAAATAGCTCCTTTTTTAAGTTCACAAAATATAGCCAAACGCAGTAACATAAACTGGTACTGATACAATGAAGACAAAATACAAAACATGATGTATAGGTTGGATTAGATGTTTTTTTGCCGAGATATAATTGAATGGTGCAGTATGTGGATAAGGTCTTAAAATAGTCGGAAACCATTTTTGTACTGCCTTTGATTTTGTTGTATACTGCAAATGTCTTTCTCAATTTATTATGTTCTACAAATTATCAGACTAAGCTTTCTGTTGCTACAGATACGTTTTCCTGTATTAAGTACTCCATTTCTTCTAAAGATATTCTAGCATCGTGTTTGGTTCCTTGTGTGGAGTGTGGATGTGGTTTTAGCATTCTGTGTGTCATTCAAAGTCTCAAGGTGAAATAAAATGCTGAGTATAAGGTATTTAGGTCTACACGTAGTATGTCACTGGTAAGAAATGAAAGGTTGTAGAAATACAGTACATGGATCATACTGAGTTAGGCTTGCATTTTGTATTTTCCAAAGACAGCATTTTATGTTAGAAGAAAGCAGCTGTTTTCTTCTTTTTGTTTGTCTTGATGTTTGTATTGCATGGCAGAGAGAGAATGGTCACCTTTTCTTTATTTTCTTCTGTCTTCAGCAGGTTAATTGAGTGACACTTAATATCTGCTGAAGACAGCGATAAATGACAAGAGAAAACTGTTATATTAAATCCGTGGAAGCTCTGGATGTAAGCAACCTTTGAGTGATAATTTTTCCCTTTGGGGAATTTTTAAATTATTTACTATTTTTTAACGATCGTTTGCAGTAATGTCTGCATTTTTTAGAGCAATTAGGAAATGTCTGAAATTTAGTGTCACTCTCAGCAATTATACCCTGAAATAAATTAAAAAAAACATTTCAGGAAAGGTATATTCTCTGCTAAGATATACAATACCTAAAACATTAAAAAAATGAATACAACTACCAATTCCTGTAATTATTGCTTAATGATGGCAGTATAAAGATGTATATTCCTCCACATAGGCAGATTGTGAGGGTTTTATGCAACGTTAATCTTATCAGTGATGCCATCCATTTTCAGTCAGTAATGCCATCTTTTTATTACATAAAAGTACAAGTGCACATTCATGTGTGTTGTATTATCTGATTCTTTCTGACAGCAGAATAGTGTCGTCAGATGTTTCATAACAATCAGAATACTATGATACTGAATTACATACTCTGCAGAATCAAAAAGAAATATCAAACAGTGTGACATTCCATGCAATGGAACAAAATGAAAGACTCCCATCCTTTTGAGAGAACCTGTGATGTTCTTTATTATTTATTAATTATGCCCATACTTAATTGCTTTACTAGATTCTCCCTCTGTCTTTCAGACTTATACACTTTGGAATTATTGTTGAGGTATAGAACCTTAGCCAGAATTTTTTCACGTAAAGATTTTAAAACTAATAGTAAAATAAAGCTACAGTATTGAACATTTATGAAACTAATTGAGCGTCAATGATTTATAAGCATGGCAATGTTATGGTATTAGTATGGTATATTAACATTAGATTTGCTGTTGGAGAATGTTAACATGGTGTCGTTGTAGTGCTATTAAAATTAGTTTAATTGGTGTGAATCTAATAGATACTGTAGTTTGATTAGACCTGAGGGGTTATTCCTAAACTTTTATTTTTTATGTTATATCGTAGGTTTTGATAACATGTAGTGTAAAATACATTCTAATGCAGCAGTATTTTAGTCTATGCACTGTTTTTTACTGGCCTACATGAGGGGTGAGTCCTAGAGCAATGATTTCTTTCAGTCACAGTGCTCTCTCTGCAGTGGAGAAGCAGCCCGAGTTCTCTCTCTGGAGGATTATTCTTATTTGGCCATTAAAAAGCAGAACATCTTTCAGCTGAATGCAATTAAAGAGATATGGATAGGCCATGCATTTATCTGTCAAACATACCTCTAGGGGCGTCATTAGCAACAGAATGAGCAGCTCCCCAGTTTTGTGTGTATTTATACATACTGTATATACAGTATATTGGTTTTTTTGTATGTTGTAGGATTTTAGATGCATTGACAAGAAAACCTCACATTATGCTTGGTTGTGTCTCTAAGCAATTATGATGTCATTTACAAATGCCTAATGGTGGTACCATGTTGGGCAATCTGAATAGCAACACACTGGGAATCTGTAAACTCTAGGATATGCAGAGGCACAGAAGCCTCCAAAAAGCTGGTTTCTTTAAGAATATACATTAATTGTTAGGGGATGCATGCCTTATTAATTGACAAAAAGGACAGTTAAAAATTATGCCTAGCCTTGGCAGTTTACCTTCTGAGGACCAGCACTTGTAGGGGTTACTATGTATTTTCTGTCTAACTAAATGGAAATGAGTGACTCCAGTTAGACAACATTATTAGTAAGTCAGTTGAGTGGCTTTACTCTTTACAAATGAGGAATGCTGTTATCCTAAAAATCTTTAGTCTTTTATTCAAAACCACTGCACACGCAGTGAAGAAGGAAGGAAGTTATGGAGTTTTAAAATGGCCTGGCATAGAGGAACGTCACATTTGTCAGAAATAATTGAATTCCAGAATCCCTTAGGGTCACATTTATTCACACCACTTTAGGTAATATTTTATAAATTCTCCTCCAGTATGGATTACATTCGCAAGACACCTCCTGTAGTATACTATGAGATTTGGCATGTATGAAGAGGGATTTGAAACTATTTGTCTGGATAGAATTGCCTTTGGACGTCCATTTTAGGTAGAGAAATAATGTGCAGACTAATTTAATCTTTTTTAGCTATGCTGTGAGTGAAGTTGTACTGTACAGTAGTGGTGTACAGTACCTTTCTTAATTCGCCTGGCAATTATTTTCAGTGTCTTCTATTGGGGTGTTTTTGTTGCTGTTGATACTTTATGTTGCATATTTATAAATTTAATATGGCAATATACATACTGTACATGTGAAATAGTTCCACGCGCTTGTGCCTGTGCCAAATTCAGCCTAATGAGTTGATCGCAGAGCAACATATTTGGAAAGAACCAGGCAGGCAACCAAAACAAAATCATTCTAAACGTATAGCAGCGACATATTTGCAAATAAACAATCATCATGCAGTGAGGCATAGCTGTAGTTTTAGAGGCTTTCACTGTTCTTCATAATGTTATTGTAGATTTGGATTTTTATTGAATTCTTTTAGGAATTCAATTATTATGACAAATCTGATTTGGCTCCATGCATCGCTACTACATTTACAATATAACATTTTTATTATTGTTTTCCACAAGACGACTTATCAATAACACTCTAACATGTGATGTTTATAGTTCCTATTTCATTGGGAATGTGAATAAATCTGGAGGGTATGTTATAGCAAGCTGACTGGTTGCCATGTGTGATAACTCTTGCCGTGTGAGTTGTAGATGGATTCTCAGTGGGGTGCTGGATTGCACTGGACTGGCCTGACTCTTATGTTTTGGTTAATTTGAGTCACACCGTAGACCCTTCACAACGCAAGTTATTACAGGTGAAGAACATCAATCATTATCCGGCAATGGATCTTAACTTACATCCCGGACTCGGGAAGCTGAGTTGTAATATTGGTGAGGCTGTGCTAAAATAATCAGATAGTAAGGTTTTTTTTTTTTATTAGGACAAAGAAATGAAAGAGCAAAAGCAGAATGATTGCTGACAGCTGGAGAGCAGGACCAATGCCGTATGACATATCAATTTCCTAACAGTCTCTCTTAAGTGACTTGCAGCATAAAATAAATAACACGTCCACCTTCCCCAGTGGCTGGAGGCTGGCAGTGACTGTCAATGAGGGATGTGCCTCTCCTTCCCCTGGGACAAAACCTCCTGTAAGTGGCTGCAGACCTTGTTGTAGTATGTGAGATGAATAGCTCAAAGAGTTGGGGAATCAGAGTAGCCCATGTGCACTCCTGTGTGGGTACAGGGGTCAAATTCACATTCAACACTGTGTCTGAAGACACAATTAGCCATTACAAAAGTGGGTGGGTGCAAGATAGAATACAATAATTGATGTTTCTTACTGTTTTATAAAAGAAAATCCTAGTCCTCTGTTGATGTTCATATGTGTATATGTTACATATATACAGTATCACTCCTAACCCAGTGTGCAAAGCTGGTAGACACCAATCCCAAAATACTTGAAGTTGTTATTGGAGCAAAAGATGGCTAATATTAATATGTGGGTTCTGAATACTTATGCACGTAGCATATTCAAGTTTTTTTACTTTCTTCAAGGTATCTGATGGTAAATATCTACTTTTGTCTTTTAAAAACATTGTGTTTGAGCATGTGAGTTTGCAATAGCAATACTGATGGGGGAAAAGATGTCTAAGTATAATTTGTAATCCATCAATATTTGAAGAGTTTTAAAGGGTCTGCATACTTTTGCAAGGTACTTTATACTTATTCCCCAGTAAAGAACCAGTATCTAAAATACAACTTAGCTCCATGTATCGATACAACAGTAACAGTAAGATTATTTACCTTTTAATTGAATTATTTATTGTAAGAGTCTTTCCTTTTTATTTGAGAATATATGGAAATCAATTTTAGAACTAAGATTTTCACTTTAAA